TGGCTGCTAGCATTTCCATGGCTAATACTATGCAGAGAGCAACTCCGAATTCCAGAGGAAGGAAATGCTTCTGCTGCTTTGTGCCTAGAGCAATAAAAACATGTTCTGAACCATTTTGTAGCAATCCAGGTTCACAGACTCACAGGCTCTCAGTAATGGTGCTTCAAGGAAATCCTAGAGACCAAAAAGTCCATTTTCTTGTCCCAGGAGCGAGCAGGAGGATCTAGGGAATCGGTGAGGCCGGAGGCTCCCGCAGAGAGTCCTTGTCCTGGTGTGGAATCATCTCTACCCGCCGGCAGCAGCTGCTCGGAGCAGAGGCTCAATCCCACTGTGAGAACTGCTGGATCTGCCGCTCAGCAAAACACCAGGAACATTCTGGAGGATTTTACCTCTCTCGGAAGCCTGGCCAAGCATTCCTCTGGCACAGGACACTTCCATGAGGTCATAGCTGGATTCCTCCCACTGCCTGGATCATTTACCACCAGAAATGAAAAACTTTAGGCTCCTCTTTAGGTGTGGGGCCCCTCCTGTGCAGAGTGTCTTACAGTGCTCTGACATAGGACTTGTCTATTGGACCCTTTTAGGACCTTTTTAGTGTCTGTGTCTGTTACAGAAGGAATTAGGATGCCTACTACAGCATACATGACATAGGCTCAGTCTCCTGTTTTTATGCTCCTGGAATTGCAACACAGGAAAATCTTGTCATCACTGATTAATGAAAAAGTGTAACAAGAAGGAGTTCCAGAATCACTGTTCCAAAACCAAGTGAGTCTGGTTTTTGGTCTAAAATTCTGTGAAATGTTTCTTTTCAGTTAGTGTCAAAGCTCTGGGTGAAAAACCTGTTTTTTTGCTGCGTTCCGCAAGACATATCAGCTAACAAGAGCTGATGAAAACTGGGGCAAAGTGTGTCTCTCTACAACTGCTAGCCTGAAGGCCCTTCAGTATATAACAATAATAAAAAAACAGAATTGGGGAAAAGTCTACAATGAAGAGACACTTCAGTTTCAGTTCCATTCTGTGTCTCTTTTCCTGCTTTATCCCTCCATGACACAGCTCCATCATGTTCCTTCTGCATCATCTACCCGTCAAGACCCTGTCAATCTGTCAGATCAGGAAAGATTCTTGTCACCTGAAAAGAGATGCTCTGTCCTGAGTGTCCTTCGTGTGTGAAGCACCAGAGCAGCCTGTAGCCCTGGCAGGTGCCAGGAAGCAAAAAAAGCCCCTGTGTGGGAGAGCTCCGCTGAGCAGCATCTGCCAGGGCTCCTCCGTCCCAAAGACGGGGCACATGCAGTAGGAAACGTGATAAGGACCCCTCTTACAGCAGCCCAAACAGAAGTTTTCTTGCCCTGTCATCTGAGCAGCAATAACAGCAGCAATAGCAACACCTGAGTCTACCAGGTGATGCT